CACCCACACCCACACCCAAAATATGCTTAGTTTTTATTTCAGATAGAAGACCCGAAGAAAAAAAATTGCAGCGTTCCAAAGTTCGAATCTTCGTTTTCTGTATGAATAAGAGCGTATTCTTTCTATCCAGTCCCTTGATATTCCAGTACCAATGAATCAATAGGAAAATTCTAATCAGAAGTAATATCGATCATTCCAAAACCAAAACTAACGAATCTATCGAAAATCATAGAAAAAAGAACGATATTGTAATCGTTTACTATAAAGTTCTTAATGATTTTGAAAGAAAGCTGAAAATATATAAGAAGATTTAGTCAAAACTGAAGAATTCCTTGAAATTCCTAAGGACCATCTGACGAAGTTTTAAAAAAAAGAGACATAAAAAATGCTGTCAGAATTTGAAAAATTAGCAGACATATCAGAATATTCTAAAAAATTCACATGAATATCTTCATGAGAAAATATTGTAACTAGCTAAAACTTCTCGTGTATTATCAAGTCTATGAAATGTATTTTATATAAGAATTTCAGACCTTAATTTTTGCAATTCAATATTTTAACGAATTTACTAGAATCTTAGTAACCTAATCATAACTGTTGCTGTGTAAATTATGATCATCTAGCAGTACTTATATTCGATTTCTCACAAGCCAATTATATTCATACTAATCATTTTCTATAGACTACAGAATCAGATAAACGACAATGCCTAATTATTTTTCATACCCATTGGTTGTTGTGACAACATTTGTTTTGAAATTTTAAAATTTCACGACTTCAAATTGACTTATCTGCCCTTGGGTTGAAGTTAATTTAGTGTATTTTTCATAGATTACCACCGAAACAATCATTAGAATTTAGTGATTTAACGAAAAAAGATGAGTTAAATTTCGTTGTTTTTAACGTAGTTTTAGAGCCAAAAAAGTAATATGAATTCTTTTAATTGTTGAATGTTTGATAAATTTTAACGGCACGAAACTTCATTAAATTGCTAAACATTTTTACATGAAGAATATAAAAGTAACGTAATACTTTGATGGCATATTTAGGATGAATGATCGTTTGTTTAACCAGTTTTCTTATTATGGCGAGAAATAGTTACACATGAAATAAATGGCACAATACATGTAAAATGTCTTTGTTTTTGTAGAAAAATGCAAAAGATTTGAGAACACTAAAAACTATTCATGCTAAGTCGATAACTCTATATAAAACAGAACAAAGTTATTCTGTTCTTGAGAATTACCGTCACTGGAACACTTTTTCTGTTATTAGAAATCACTAAAGATGAAAAGTTATATTCTTTGTTTCATAAAAACAACCATCGGATATAGTATATTTGAAAACTCAATGAATTTACAAACAATTTCTGAAACGTTGAGAAAAATCTGCCGTGAATTCCCATGAAATTTCTCCCAATTTGAACTAGATTTAATGAAAAGCTAAACAAGAGAATAAAACTTCGAACAAATTCATGAGTGATATGCAAAGCAAGAAGTTTCATAAAAGTTTTCCAGAAACACATTACAGTTCAGCGAGCTTTATTTCTGACAACAATGGTCTTTTTCTGTTATAGTTCTACTCCCGAATATTCCTGCAAATGACAGATGGGCAGAGAATGGAGTTACTGTTGCTGGAGGTAACGGACGAGGAGATGCATTGAATCAACTTCATTGGCCTTGTGGTGTCTATGTGGATGATGATAAGACGATTTACATTGCTGACTGGAAGAATCACCGTATTGTGGAATGGAAGGCTGGTGCAAATAGTGGTCAAGTGGTAGCAGGTGGGAACGGAAAAGGAAATGGAGTTAATCAATTGAATGAACCGCAAGATGTGATTGTCGACAAAGAGACAGACAGTCTTATCATCTGCGATGAAGGTAACAAACGAGTGGTGCGATGGTCTCGTCAAAATCGAACAAGTGGAGAAATTATCCTCAAGAATATCAGTTGTCGTGGATTGACGATGGACGATCAAAAATTTCTGTACGTGTCTGATTCGAATTTTGATGAAGTGATACGATACGGAGTAGGAGAAAAGAAAGGAACAGTAGTGGCAGGTGGAAATGGAAGAGGTAATCGTCTCAATCAACTTCATTCCCCTACTTACGTCTTTGTCGATCGAGATTATTCTGTTTATGTTTCGGACTGGGAAAATCATCGTGTAATGAAGTGGACGAAAGATGCGCAAGAAGGAATTGTCGTCGCTGGTGGACGAGGTGCAGGGAATGATCTTACAAAATTATCATCTCCTCGAGGAATATTCGTCGATCAGTTAGGTACACTCTATGTGGTGGATAGAATGAACGATCGAGTGATGCGCTGGCGCCAAGGAGAGACAGAAGGAGAGGTGATTGCCGGTGGAAACGGTCCAGGACAACAAGCAAATCAGTTGAAAAGTTCGGAAGGTTTGTCACTCGATCGAGATGGTAATTTATATGTTGCCGACCACGCTAATAATCGAGTTCAACGATTTTCATTTCAAAAATAACTTTTTGATTGTTTGTTCTTTTCAGCTCGGCAAATACATGAATATTTTTTTCATTTTCTTTTCGTGTATTTTCAATCGGTAAATAAACTTTTTCTGCGAGAATAACTTTTTTTCTCAGTTGTCATTTCTTTTACTGTTCTCTCATCATTCATGTATATGTATATATATGATTACGCGCACGATCAGAGACCGTTCCTGGTGGTGGGGGAAACGGCCGCCGGGTCATGCACGAACTGTGCAGACCCACATGTCGCACGTACGAGACGTGATGAACGTGTGGATCTGTAGGTCTGTCGTGTGCTTCCATCACCAGTTAAGTACTCTGGGGTGTGTCCGAAGACAACACATACTTTTCGCCTCCCAAATGAGGAAATGAACGTTGACTAGAGACGAACTCTAGTCAGTGATTATTATTACTTGTAAGCTGTTGAGCCGTTCACTGGGAGACATATTGATCAGTTGAGTAATCTTGATCTGCAATATCCGTGACGTAGAATATTCACAGTGCTAAGACATACGAAGAATAAAAATAGAGAAGTAGAAAAACATTTATTCTAAAAAAAAATTTTTTTAAATATTCATTAGTAAGGATGGATAATAAAAAATCGAATTATTTACTATATATGAATCATACAGACAGCAGCTATTATTCAGTGTATATTATTAATGATTTATAACCGATCATACTTATTGAAAAGGATTTGTGATTAATAAAAAAGCTCAAGCTTTAAGCCAGCCATGTTACTCGTAAATGAGAAAACCCACAAATAACGAAATTACAGAAATGCACCAGTATTTATAGTGCACAAATGAATGATCATGTCGGACGATACAACCTGACAGATGAGAGAGATGTAGATGGAGAAAAAAAAATAACGATCGTCAGGCTTGAGTAAATTTTTATATCTTTCTCTTTTCCTCTGTCCAATAAATGAAAGAGAGTTATATGTCTAGGCAGCTATGACAAAGACTTTTGTTGATCATTTTAGACTGTCTTGAACATTTATTGATCGATTCGGAAAAA